ATAGCTTGGTTATATCCAAGTTCATGGGAATTAGAGGATGCATTCAACTGGCACCTTCAGATTTCTAATGCTTACTATTTATTTTGAATTTTGCATGCCAAGAAGGAAAAATCATCATTCATTTTTCTTGGATTTTTTTTTTTTTTTTTTTTTGGGGGGGAAAGGCTGGGGGTGTTAGCAACTCTATAATTTTAGACCACTGAGTTTCCCTCAACACACGGCATTTCTCTTCCTTGCCTAGTGATTTACCTTGATGAGAAATTGAATGCACTGCACCTTTCTATTTATTTAATTGAAGTACTTGTTATATTTGAAATCTTCATTCTTGTATCGGTTGGGTAAATTTTGTAGCTAATTGTATGGGCTCCAACAAGGGAAAAAGCGATTGAGCGAATGAAGAGAGCACTAGATGACACTATTATCACAGGTAAAATGATTCAAGTACGATGGTTGTGAATTTGTGGATTTTGTGTTGCATTACATACCGTGCAGTCAATTGTATCCACTAGAAGACTGAAAGGAGAGAGAACCATGCCTTTGTTTTGCACCTCGGTTAATGTTCTTTTCCACTGTATGGGGGTATCCAAACTTGTTCTATCCGTTGTTGATGAATATGTATTTTTGTTACAGGGGTTCCTACAACAATTGATTATCATAAGCTTATTCTTGACATTGAGGTGGGTAAATCTGTTAAAATAGTGTCATCCTTGAAATATATTTGCATGTTTACAAAAGTCATGTGACTTATGTGCGATATCTGTATGGCTATGCAGGATTTTAGAAATGGCAAAGTTGATACTGCTTTTATCCCAAAGCATGAGCAGGAGTTGGCTATGGTAAGAACCTGCTAAAACCCCGATATTATATCTCTAGCAGCGAGGTTCAAAATTGTTGCACTACTTATTAGGAAGGGATACTTACAGAAACTATAAAGCTGAGGAAGTTGAAAAATTTTGGTCCCGCCCCCGGTTTAATTATTTTGGTAGGACAATTTCGTGAGACCTGGCCCGCGTAGCCACAAGTTCTTGATCTTCTCTCATCAGTTTTGTGTCTCAAAACTTATAGCACGCTTTTGATGTCTTGTCCTGGCAGAAGACCACCTCAACAGCTTAGTGTGTAACTTTTACCGCCTATTGAACCGTAGACTTTCCATGGACAATTCACGTGGTAAACTTATCCATTAGTTGCAGATCAAGATATATTATTGTCATGTACCCTGCCATACGTACCGAGCGCTCATATCGTTAAACCTAATAAAATCAGACCGATAATCCTTGCTGCTGACATCATTGTGTTTTGGTTGGTTTTATTCCCGATTTCAGACCGAACAAGGGAAAATGTGACCTAATTATGAAACTTTAATTTTGCTCAAATTTGTAATTGATTAAATGTTCTTTTTTTTGGCACAATGCAGCCGCCCCAGAAGAATGTACCAGCTAACACGGCCAAAGCACTTGCTGGCGCAATTGTGTGATACCACCGCTTTAACGAGTATCTGTGTTGTAACCATTTGTTCCTGCATGTGAAAGTTTCCGACGAGATATTGTTCAGTCGCTGATCAATTCATTGCTCACATTATACTGTAAAATTTATTGAATTTCGTGTCTGATTACATGAATGCAAGGAACTGGAGTTATATACTTGCATTTTCTTCCAAATTCATGATTGTGTTGAAAACAAAAATTGAGTCCCGAAACAAACCCGCTTAACAAACCCTGAATACTTATGGTGTGTCAAGCTGAGATTTTCGAGGCCCATAAGTGCTTTTTGCACACTTATGGGGTGTTTGGCTAATCCTAGAAGTGTTTTTTAGAAGTATTTTTTCACAAATCGAGATAAATTCTTCTACATATTTACTTCGTATATTGTAAAAATACTTCTGAAACTATGGTTTTGTTCTTACCCAAACATTTTTTAGTTTGCTTCCTATTTCTTCTCCTTCGCCACACTGCTTTAGTTTCTGTTGTTATTTGATATAAATAAAACTTATTTTTGAAGGTGAAGTAATCAGTTATCCGCCAGCACTTAAAACCTAAAGCATGAAATTTAAGAGAATATTTGTCACTACTTGTGTTGTTATTGTCATTTCATATTTGTCACACCTTAAGTTAATCGCTAGAGTCACGTAATTATTGATCCACCGATACAATCTAGAAGCTAAATTCTAAAATAGTAGCTGTCACGACTTATGATTATTAGTTCATCTGACTAAGGTTATTAATTATTAAAGTAACTTAGTTATTTTATAGGGTTTAATATAATTTTTGGTCTCTTAAATTTGTTTTCATTTTTGTTTTAGCTTTTTGAATTTCAAACAATAGGTTTTGTTCAATCAAGAGATAATATGGTTTAAGTTTTTAATTAAATTATAGAGACTAATATTTTAAATAAAAATAATTTGAGGGACTGAAATCTATAATTTAAAATGTGAAATACCTAAATTAAAATAAAGACAAATTTAAAGGAGTAAAGTTAATATTAATTTATATGTATTAAAGACTAGTAGTTATCTTATATGTTATTTTGTGCTATACTTCTTAGAAGCATTGGTGGCCCACTGATTATATAGATTTTGGGGAACCATAAGGTGATACAATCAAGTCATACATTGACTAACCTTTACTCAACTTTTTCAACCGATAGCGGTGGCTATTTTTTGAACATCAAGGCAATTGGGTCATTTCGTAAAAAACAAGAATTTCATAATAGTCCTAAAGATTTTATAAGAATTAGGTCATTCAGAGAGATTCTAGCACATTAAATGTGCAGACTTCATGGAGAAGAGGGGACATGCCTCTTCCTTTGATACAGAATTGGGGCCCGTGTGTCGGTGTTTGCCTTTGTTTTTAGATGACAAGTGTATGGCTTGCAGCTCGAAAGCGAACTGGGCAGTTCTCTTCTTCAAGCTTCTGCTGGCCTTTTCATGGGGAAAAAAAAGAGAGAGGGAGAGATATTCTAGGATTTTCATATTTTGATGGTCCTTCCATGTCTTTTTCCTAATAAATAAATGAAAAGTATATATTTTTGCTTGGAAGAAAATCAAGTATATAGATACTTTTCTGGTAATATTTATAGGGCATAAAAATTTTTTCTCTATTTATTAGTCATTTCATTAAATTCTTAATAAATATTTTATTTCACTTTTTATTTATTATTATGTAAATTATTTTTAAAAAATATATATTAAATGATTAAGGTACAACTTTATCACAAAAATTTTCATTCACAAGCATTTGAAAATTTTCACTCGGCACTCAAAAGGTTTTTTTAGTGTAGATTTGCTTCAAAAGTTTAAAATTGTAGCAGCATTACCCTCTATAGATAAAAATTTTAAGTATTAATATCACTGTTTTAATGATTAGTGTTAGTTTTTTAACAATAGAAGGTAATATTACTACTATTTTAAATTTATGGGGAAAATTTGCATCTAAAAATATTTTCAAGTATTTAGTATTCCTGAATGAAAACTTTCAACTTAAATTTGCAACTTAACCCTTTATTAAATAAGGAAAAATTTGAAAAATTATTAAATTTTAAGACATAATCAATAAGGTTCAAGGTTTCTCTAAATTTTCATTAGACATGTTAGAAGAGGTTTATAAATAGGAGCAAATGCTATATGATAAGTAAGTCTCATTCAGTCTGAAGAAAAGGTCTCCTTAAACATTTTTTTAGCATGAAAATTCAGAGTAAAATACAGTAATCTCTTTTTATATATTATTACGGGTATTTTCCGTCTACTTCAAAACTTATTCTTTTGTCCGAATTATAAAATATTAGTTATGAATTAAAAGTGAAACTAAAATTATCTATCACCAAAATAAAAATCTATAATCACAAACTTGCCCCGACAAACTTAAGTTCCTAATTGTCCATTTTGGAGCCAATCCCACAAAGCATTCAAAAGGAGGCTAGGGACCGAAGATTTGCGCCCCTATACAGACGTTCAATAACCCAATAATCTGATGATGACACAGATTAGAAGCTTCATGAGCTATTCATGAGATTTAAGATCAATCATATCTCAGGGGATCAAACAACGTCGCGGATGCTCTTGCTAAGGAGGGTATTTCTACATCCTCGATTCTGGATACTTGTTCTACACATTTAAGGACTGCATTGGTGAATGAGAGTTTGGGATTTAATCCCCCGTGTTTTTATTTGCTTTTCTAGGCTTTAGCATTCACTTGTACCCCAAAAAAAAAAAAAAAAACCAGCAACCTCATGACCAAACAATTAATCACACATCAAGTTCAGTAACTCGTATTAACAAATTAAATGTCATGCATGGATTCGGCTTTTAATGGTTAATCGGCCTTTAGTGGGGACATTAATAATTAAATCAAGGCGTTTCCATCGTTGAAGATTTTGAGGTAGTCAAGAAAGTAGGAAACTGTGACAAGCTTACCAGAATAGCCTGCCGGAATGGGGAGAAAACAAGAACAAATTGACTGGGAAGAAAGGCCGCGTCATAAAGGAAAAATGCGGTTTTTTTTTGCCAAAAGAAAATAATGTTATAAAATAATATTTGTTGAAAATAATATTAATTAAATATTTATATTGAAGAAGGGTAATTTGGTGAAAAAAATCAAATGAAGTGATCTAAGGATTTTAAAAGAAAGGGCAACATAAATGGAATATAGAAAGCAGAGGCGTTTATGTCATTCAACTTATAATAAATCCTTGTATGTTTTTAAAATAAAAGGAGATGCATGATTAAATCCTTTGGACAGCAAGTTTATTCTTAGAATATGTAATGGGAATTCTAATTATGGAAGCAAGGACAAACTGGAAGCCATAATAAAATAATGAATTGGCGACGCAGTGGCACTCAGGAGTTTAGTTGCAACAGAATATTCAAAAATAGAAGTGAGAAGTTGAGCGGGAGTGGTATTTAGGTGGTGGAAGAACATTGGACGGAATGATTCACAATTAAAGAGAAGTTTTTTAGTATTGTTCATTGAAGCGTTTGAGGTAGCTGCAGTTTTCAATCCAAAAGGATGTCAAGAATAATTCCTGAGAAGAAGTTGGGTGCGGGACGCATGGTTGCTGTGGCAATTGAGAATAACAAGACAAGCCAGTACGCCGCAAAATGGGCAGTTGATAATCTTGTCCCCAAAGATCAATGTATCCTCCTACTCCATGTCAGACAGAGGGCATCTTCCATTCCCACGACAAGTAATTCTTTCTCTCTTTCTCAAACCCATGTGTGCTTGATTTTTATAAATGAAAGCCGACCATGCATGCCCCCATCATGATTTCTATTCTTGTTTTTCCTATTGTCAACGCAGCCGGAAATCTTGTACCCGTCGATTCCTGCGATGACGTGGCGAGAGCATACAAGCAGCAATTCGACAACGAATCCAGGGAGCTTTTTGCCTCATTCCGTGTTTTCTTCAACAGAAAAAATGTTAGTTCCAACACGACGCCTTTCTTCATGTTATCTTTCAACAATAAATTAGAGAACATGCACGGAAGAAACACAGCAAATATGCGGCAAATAGTTGATTGTTTTTTCTCTCCCTTGCATGTTTTTTCTTTTCTCCCTCGTTGATTACTCTACTTGCAACAGGTACAATGCAAAGAAGTCTTATTGGAAGACACGGATATAGCTAAAGCATTGATAGAATGTGTTTCCACGCATTCAGTTGAGCTTCTGGTGCTTGGGGCACCATCAAGAAGTGGCATTGTGAGGTAATGATTTTTTTCCTCTTCCCGCCTCTCTAGAGCAAGCAGCCATATATGCTTGTCCTCAAAAAAGATTATAAAAAACAGGCAGACATCATCTTAACCCCCCACGGAATGCATTCAGCTTTAATGCTTGATAAAATATTGCCGTCACAATAACGGCGTCCTGTTTAATTCATGTTCACGACAGAAGATTTAGGACAACCGATGTCCCAAGCCTTGTGTCAAAAGGGGCGCCGCCATTCTGCACTGTGTATATCATTTCCAAAGGAAAAATCTCATCTGTACGAGCTGCTTCTGCTCCACTGCCAGCTAAACCTGCACCTCGAAACGCAGTGCAGCAACAATCCGCCCAGAGTCCTGATAGGCTGGATGCAACACTCGTTCGCAGCCTAACACCACGGTGTATGCTCTATATCTATGTCATGCCGATTCCCTGCTGTATTTGGCTTATTAATTCCATTGCTTATAGAACTGTTTGTCTACTTGCATCTGTTACAGCAGCAGAGCGTTCAGCATATGGCACCTGCCCCCAACCGGGTGATGATGACATCAAGTGAGTTCTTAAGCATCTATCCGGGAAGAAGTATATCCCATAATTACAAGGAAAACTCGATGAATGTTAAATTACAAATGCCAGTGCGCGCTAAAACAGAGATCTACAGAGATTAAAGAACTTGTGAAAGAACTAACTGGATAATCTATGGACAGGTCGCCGTTCACAAGAGGGGGTAGATCAAGCTACAAACCATACGAGTCCTCAATCCCCGACTCTGATATATCATTTGTGAGCAGTGGAAGGCCAAGCATTGATAGGATGTCTAATTCAACGTATGATGATTTCGAACCTGGAATGGCCCCTCGGCTTTCCAACAGTTCAGATTTTGATGGCAGAAGCTCTGAGTCATCTTTCTCTGGGGCTAGGCATTCTGAGGTTAACTTTTCGTTTAGCTCGCAAGACAGTGGGGGGTCATCCTCAAGATTGTCTCTGACGGTAAGGACAATGTCTAGGATAACCATGAACAACCTGTTGGAATAATCTACCGCATCATATTAACATGCCGGAATACACTTAATTCTTCTATGCATTCCAAACTAGTCCAGTTTTCAATGGCTTTTTGTCGGTCTTACTCTTAAAAATGTGCTCATTCATGGATGCCACGAAGGGATTTAATTTAAAGCTCTTCTTGAAATCATAGGATGATATGGAAGCCGAGATGAGAAGATTGAAGCTCGAACTGAAACAAACGATGGAAATGTACAGTACAGCTTGCCAGGAAGCACTTACAGCAAGGCAGAAGGTAGCTTACCTATTGTAGTTAGGTTGACACATACTCTAAGAATAGTGCAGTCCTGCCGAAAAGGTTTGTTCTTTTAAAGGAAATTATATATTCAACAACAAAGTAGCTCCATAAAGAAATCAATTAAAACGGGAACTTTATTTGGGAAGTATGATAATAGAAACTAACATATATATCCGACAGGCAATGGAACTTCAACGATGGAAATTCGAAGAGCAAAAGAAATTAGAAGAGGCAAGGATGGCTGAAGAAGCAGCATTGGCACTTGCAGAGAGAGAGAGAGCAAGGTGTAGAGCTGCCCTTGAGGCAGCAGAAGCATCTAAGAAAATTGCGGAACTGGAGGCACATAAAAGATTGAATGCAGAGATGAAAGCCCTGAAAGAATCTGAGCAGAAAAAGAATACACTCGATACTTTTCCACAAGGTAGAGCCAGGTACAGAAGATACACTATTGAGGAAATCGAAGAAGCAACAAATTGTTTCGCGGACGCGCTGAAGATCGGGGAAGGAGGGTACGGACCAGTATATAGATGTGAACTAGATCTCACGCCAGTTGCAGTAAAAGTTTTAAGGCCAGATGCAGCTCAAGGAAGGTCACAGTTTCAGCAAGAGGTATGAAAATGGCGAAAACACTATGGTTGCGTTTGGTAGAAAGCATTGAAAATGAGAGATTGAGATTAGAATTACAATTGAAAAAAATCTATTAAGAGAGTGTTTAGTATAAGAGATTGTTTGATATATGAGATTATCCAAAACCATATATGTGGGATTGGAGAATACCATGGGGGGAAGTGGTATTCCCCAATCCCACCTTTATAGGTGTGCCTAAATCCCATATAACAAACAATTACTCATGCTAAGTAACATTTTAATGATTTTTTCAATCTCAATCCCAATCGCAATCCCTCATTTTCAATGCTTCATACCAAACAGGACCTATCTTCAAAAGAAGATGGACAGTAAAATTTCGTCGATATCGTCGTTATTCATGAAATCATAATTTGGCATTGCAGGTTGAAGTGTTGAGTTGCATTCGTCATCCAAACATGGTTCTCCTCCTTGGAGCATGCCCAGAGTATGGGTGCCTTGTGTATGAGTACATGGCTAATGGAAGTTTGGAGGACTGCCTCTTCCAGAAACGTAACTCGCCAACTCTTCCCTGGCAGTTAAGATTTCGAATAGCTGCAGAGATCACCACCGGCCTCCTTTTCCTTCATCAGACAAAACCAGAACCACTTGTTCACCGTGATTTAAAACCTGCCAACATTTTGCTTGATCGTAACTTTGTCAGCAAGATTAGTGATGTGGGGTTGGCCAGGCTTGTACCTCCTTCAGTTGCGGACAGTGTAACTCAGTACCGCATGACATCAACTGCTGGAACTTTCTGTTATATTGATCCTGAGTACCAGCAAACCGGCATGCTCGGAATCAAATCTGACGTATACTCACTGGGGATCATGCTTCTACAAATGATAACAGCAAAGCCCCCGATGGGTTTGACTCATCATGTCGGACGAGCAATAGAAAACGGGACTTTCGCCGAGATGCTTGACCCAGCTGTTGAAGACTGGCCAGTGCAGGAAACCCTACAGTTTGCCAAGCTTGCTCTGCAGTGTGCCGAAATGAGAAGAAAAGACAGACCTGATCTTAAAAAAGTGGTATTGCCTCAGCTCAATATATTAAGAGACTTTGCCGAAGATAACATGCCCATGATGATCATGTTTGGACGTAGTACAGGATTCGCCCCACATAGTAGCAACAGTTCCACAACCTCCACAGTTCAAGTACGTCTCTAATCACGCTTGTTCACTTCTCTGATGCTAAATATATTTCATACACTACAAAATCTCACGAAACTTCCCCACTATGAACTTCTTCTCTTCTAGGATATTTTGAATGATAACCAGTCACTTTCTGGAATCTCCGGGTATGAAAGCCGCTCGAGCACATCCTCGCCATTTGGTAATTAAATGCTTTGGATCGCTGATGGGTACTGATTGATGTGTTTAAGGAGTATTAGGCAACGATACTCGATTGACAACAGGACAACAACAGCGCAGCGGGCAGCCACTTCTAGCAACGTTTGAGGTTAGAAGAGATGTGTACGAGCAAAACCTTATAAGGCACTTGGAAGTTCCAAATTTCACGGACGTGCAAGAAAGGAAACTAAGGATTTTGATATTCATGCGCGATTCTAGTTATTTAGCCTAATCAAGGCAGAGGAACTTGGTGCTGGGGAACTAACGAACAGCAATTATGTTCCATCGTAATTGTCTGCATCCCAGTTCGATGTTCTATAATTCAAAGGATCAAAATATTTTCACTTCTTTTCTTAATCCACAAAACGGAAAGGTTTATTGCCAGCAACATTTTTAGAATGTTTTTAACCGCTCTTCTCTTGAAATCTTGGTAATTCTTTACCAAAAAAAAAATCTTGATGATTCGAAATTAAATGGTTGGCACTTGGTAGTATAATAAAAATCATTTAAGGCATCGCTAGTTAAAAAATGAAATTGAAATGAAATAAAATGCAAAGGATTTTTTTTCCAGAAAATGTGGGGGAGTTTGAAAAAAAGGTTTTTATGTCCATCACAATTATTCGCGATCGTCTATTTTAAAATTGAACGATTCAAACTTAATGTTATTCTGTTTTTATACTTTATTAACTTTTTTATTTTAATGGATGCAAAATTGAATATAAAGATAATTTTCAGTTATGATTCTGTCAAAAAAATAAATTTTTTATTTAAAAGTGACAAATTAAAATGTTTAAATTTAAACTAACGTAGAGTCTACTCTACTCTCGAAATAAGATGCAGTGGAGTCTACATTTTTAGAAAGCCCACTACTTTTTTTATTAAAAATTTATTCAATACTCTTAAATTTTTTTTTTTTGGCCGAAGAGTACCCTTCTTTAAGTAAATATGCTGGTTTGACATTTTATCTTGAAAAGAACACTCTTTGTTTTTTGAATGATGAAAAGAAGAACACTTTTATGATGTTAAACTTTTTCTCAAGTATAAAAAGGAGATGCTTTGTGGTTTTGGGGCGAAACGAAGGGAGTTGCTTCGTTCAATCTGATGACTTTTTCGGTAAGATGTAACTTTTTATGAGATTCATGGCTGATTGCCTCTTTTTTTTAAAAAAAAAAACTTTTGAAAGTTATAAATTATTTTTTAAATAAATATAATATTTTTCTAACATTGAAAAATGAATTTTAAATGAATTTTATGTTAAATATTTATAGGTAAGTTTGAAAATATATGGCAAACCTTAGGTTTCACTCAAGAAATAACTTTACTAGGTGAGCCTAGCATTACAAAAGCGAAGGAAGTAATTTAGGGAAATTTACTCCCAAGTCCCACAAATCATCATAAATATAGTAAATTTTTTTGAAATTATAAAAATACAGCGGATTCCCTCTACCTTTAATTATGAGTAAGTTTTGTAATAAACAAGTTACCATGAATATTTATTAAAATGCCCTTGGTATTTTAAAAAAGATAAAAATTCCCTCCCTAGTTTAAATCTTAAGAAGTGTTTGTTTAAAAATTAAACCATAATTTTAAAAATAATTTTACAATGTAAAAAATAAATGTAAAAGAATTTACCTTGATTTTTAAAAAAAATACTTTTAGAAACACTTTTTAAAACTAAACACCCCCTTAAACCTTTTTAGTGGGGTGTTTGGATATCTTCAAAAACACCTTGTAAAAATAATTTCATACAAATCAAAACAAAACTCTTCCCACATATTCACTTTATATGCCATAAAATCACTTTTAAAATTATATTTTAGTTTCTATCCAAACAATCCATTATCAATTTTATATATCACTTCTTGTTTTAAATATCAGATCTAATTCATAACATAATTTATACTACAAATTAGAATTAGATCCCATATTTAGAACTGGAGGCAGTATGCATATATATAACCAATGAGCCACTTACGCATCTTAATAATATAATGCCAACTATTACACACATCTACGTACATAAAAATGCCCGTGTGTCTCTGTGAGCCTAGCCTCCAAGCATTCACAAGAAGTTGACAGTTACATAAGAATATTTGTTGATTTCTGAAATTGAACCAAACAGGCCCTAACCGCATATGTTTACAAAGGCCCATACAAGGAAGTCAGCTCTCTTCCACATATGGAGAGGAAGCAATTTTATACATCAGAACTATGCCGCCAGAATTTAACCTGGCTTTCTAAACTACGCTGAACTAGAAAGATTCCACATGTATTGACAACAGTTTTGACCAATCTTACTACTGCATCGTCAAATCCATAGGTTCAACAGTTAATTGAATTGCTTTGCTGAGGCACTCTCAAGACTAACTTCATTACCATACGGTTGGCGCACCGGCAGCAACAGTCACTCCACTTGTTGCGGCTCTTGAAATTCTCCTGTAGTCCACAGAGTGCCTAGAATGCGCCGTCAACTGCAAAAGATTATTAAGATCTGCAGCAGGAACGCAAATGTCCACAGAAACCCCCCAAATAGAAACAACAGGGTTACCAACATGTAAGAACAGTTAGCAGATGTTCGGACTCCTTTAGGTGTTTCCTCCATCAGAACTGCTACAGGCTTGATTTGGAAGGCCACCGCTGCCAAAATCTCCATCCAAGCTCATCTGTTGCACCTCTTGAGGAGAAAGTATTTTAATGCAGCGGACACAGTTCACAAACTCCCTGAAATATCCAAAATAGTAAATACGAGTCATGGAACTGCACTATACTGCACTCTCTTCCGTATTCAGGTTTATCAGTTATTGACAGAATGGAATCAAAACTCTTTAACAAACACGTGTAGGGAAGAGGGATACAACAAAAAGTTATTACCATCTTTCAGGAATAGTTAGTTCCATTATTCCACAAGGAAATGAGGATGCCAGTCTTCGCAGAAATTAAGAATCCATGTGCACATGCAAAATTGGTATCGCCAGTCCAATACCAACCATGCTCTAAATGCACAACAGCTAAAGGTTTCTTCATATTTTTCAATTATGTATTCATGTTATATTTCAACCTGACCCCCTAAACAAGGCCGTCTCCGCCTCTAATGAAGGGCTTATTTAAGAAATAACACAAATGGAGAGAACACGGCCACCTTTTCCTCTATATGCAAAGAACAAAACAACTATCATATGCTGGAAGACGATCTATCATATGCACTATTGCATGCAGACAAATCCAAGTGGAAGAGGAATGGTAGAACTTACTCCCAAGGGTCATCCCCCACTAGCAAAACATCATTTTCATGATCTACATAAACAAGTTTCCAGCCTATCCTCTGCCGGTCCTCCAACTGTCCCTCTATGCCAAATCTGCGAGCCAAATCCCGTTTAAGTTCCTCGTAACCTGAATACCGGGTTATGTCTATAGACCTACCAACAGCTCCACGTTTGTATACCTACATGTACAAGAAATAACTTGGAACAATAATTCAAAACAAATGAAAGAGAACTTATCCACCATCTGAGGCATAATTCACTGAAAATAATAATAATAAATGAAACCTTGGTATATGTTCTCATTCGCTGAAACTGTGATGGTGGAGGAGGAGGTGGGGCCCATGTGCCCCTATTTACGTAATTACTATCATTTATTGTTGGATCAATTGAATTAAAGGTCATATCAGGTACTCCAAATGCCTGGGAAACAATTGATGAAGAGAGTTCCTGCTGAGCATCTCTGTTATCCTCATAGTTACCAAGCATGCCTCCTGAAGAAAAGTTATTTGACAAATCCTTTCCCAGCCCTATCGTGCCTTTGGTCAAAAGAGAATCTGGATTTAGCGGCACTCCCAGTTGACTATCAATATTATTGCCAAATGGAACATTGCTCCTAGCATCTAGCTGAATTTCCCCATCCTGATTGTTGTCTCTAAACAACATTGACTGCGGATTGTAAGATAATGAGTTGTTATTCTGATGCATATAAGTGTCATTCCGAGAAAGGCTAACTGAAGTTGTAGAAGATGATGTATCCAAATAATCTGTCTGTGCGGCTCCACCATTTAAGTATACATGGGCGGACAAACTCCCTTGATTTTGACTTTTGGATATATTTAAAGATGGCTTAACTTCAGACTTTAGCTGAAAATCTTTCATCAAGCTTGCATTTGATGACATGGTCTCAAAGGCACCTGGACTTAAGATCGTGGCTGCAGACTGAGCCATATCATCCCCAATAGTTGTGTTCCTATGGATCCGGGAATTCATATGGGGAATAGTATTGGCACAGTTATTAGTGGAAGGTGAAGTGGAACAAGATGGAATGTCATCAGTAATTACAGACTGCCCTGCTCCAGCTGCTCCAGTTAATATACTACTGCCAGCTGCAGAGAGTTTGTTGGCAGTAGGAGCAGGAGGAAGGCCCACATGCCCAGACATGTCAGACAGTGTGCCAGGTTGCTGTTGTTGAAGCTTTGCCTGCTGGGTTGGATGAGAGAACTGAACATTATTGGTCTGGCCGTTATTCTTCGTCATTTGATGTGGAATAGAATTAGAATCAGGAAGTGAGTTTTGAAGTATTGGAGGAATTTCTAGAACTTGAGTTGAAGTTAAGGCCCTCGAGAAGCCGTGAGTTGGATCTAAAAGCTGCCTCTGCTGGTCTTGGATTTGACTAAGTTGAGTAGACTGTGGCACTACTGACTGCTGTGCCAAGAGTGTCTGCTGTTGCTGTTGAAGCTTCTGTAATAATTGAAGCTGAATCTGATTATCAGACACCTGCAACTGTTGACTGACATGATCAGGCATTGAGGACTGAATAAGATTTTGCTGTTGATTCTGACCCATAACTGTCTGCTGCTGCTGCGGCTGTGACAGGTTCTGAGAGAGATTTCTGTGCAGTTGATGGTTTTGGATGGAAGGTTGCTGCTGTTGAAGAACATTGTTAGGCTGAACAATATTTTGAGCATGCAGAAGTTGGCTCTGAATTTGACTTTGTGGCAGAGCTTGATTTCCTACATTCTGTCTCGATTGCTGAGTGATATCACCCAATTGTTGTGGTGGCTGCACGACCGTTCCTAATGGGCTAGACGCAGATGTTATCTTTTGAAGATGGTCAACGTGTTGTGGGGTCTGAAGTAACCTCTGAGGATTGAAAGTTACATTGCTTGACTGAGAAATCTGTGGAGAACAAAATCCCAGCTGACGGGCAATGTCTGCACCAGGAAGATTCTGCAGAACAGATCCAGAA